CCCCAAAACCCCAAAACCCCAAAACCCCAAAACCCCAAAACCCCTAAGTGGCTCAAGAGGTTGGTTATTAAATAATAAAATTCTTCATGGAGAAAAGTGGTTCAAAAAGGGTAGTAATCACTGGTGTCTCTGGATACCTGGCCTCTTGGGTGCTCAAGTACTTCTTGGAATCTGACCAAAACTTTGAAATCAGAGGTACAGTGAGAGATTCTACAAACGTAGCCAAGGTTAATCCACTCAGAGAAGCCATAGGTGCTGACTTTGATTGAGTCGAGTTAGTCTCTGCTGATATCACTGATAAAAAGGCAATTGATAAAGCTGTAGAAGGCTGTCATTATGTCATCCATACAGCATCTCCAGTGTTAGAGAGAGCTCCTAAAGATCCAGAGTTGTTATATAAACCAGCAGTTGAAGGCACCCAAGCTGTGCTGGAGGCCTGCAGGAAGCACAAAGTTGAGAGATTAGTGGTCACTTCTTCTCTCATAACCATCGTTGATTACGATAAACTTGAAGATGAAGATACAGTCACAGAGAAAGATTGGCTTGAATCTTTTGGTAAAATTTCTTCTCTACACAACATTACATGTTTTTAGATCCGAATAGCCCATATCCTGAAAGTAAGCTCAGGGCTGAGAAAGCAGTATGGAAGTTCTTAGAAGAACTCCCTGAAGAAGAGAAATTTGATATACTGACTCTCCATCCAGGTTTCATCCTTGGACCACTACTCTGTAAGTCTCTTTATTCTAGCTTAAGCTATATTATGAACACTTTTTAATTACTTGGCAAGATAAATATAATTCGATAGAGCCTTCTTGAAAAATCTGGCACTATTTCATTTGATCAGGAGTGATCAATTTAGTCATTTAAGCGTGATTGATAGCCTCAAATATCTATGTTCAGACGTATCTGAACTAGCCTAGCCCTGCTCCAAATTTAAATTTGAAATATTAGTACAATTTAGTTAATCCAAACAGTAAAGATATATGAGAGCATCTAAATGTTATGTTTAAAACTTGAAACTGCCAGCCTGATATCTTCAGGCTGCATGGAACTTCCACTACTTAGTCTGATCAGAACCTTGCCAGGCCATGCTCACGGATATTGCATTGATGGTCTAACTCACTTTAGTTAAAAATAATTCAGTATCTCCTAATTTTGGAGCAAAAGTAATGCAAGGGAAGATGCCTGGGATCCCTGACATTCACCTATTAATGGTAGACGTCAGAGACATCGCCATGGCTCATCTTTTGGCCGTAACCTCTGGTGCCAAAACTGGTAGATACATAGTAAACGAAGGTGAGTCTCTGTATTTACAGCTCTAGATCACCATCCTGGAATCTCCATAGGAGAGATCTTCTACGAAGAGTTTGGCAAATACGGATACAAGCCTAATAGAAAGAAGCTGAAGCATTGATTGGTCAAGCTTGCTGCTTGCTGTATAAAAGACGTCAGACCTGTCCTTAAGTATTGGGGCAAAAAGGTTAGCGCTGATCATTCCAAATCTGTCAAAGAACTAGGCATGAAATATAGAACCCAGAGGGAAACAATCGTAGATATGGGCTACTCTTTGATCGAACATGTAAGTCATAACATTTCATTTTTAGGGAATGGTCAAGGACAGAACTAAGAAGAAGAAAAGTTAAACCATAACTTCGAAATTCAATCAAATATATTTTGTTTGGGGTTTTGGGGTTTTGGGGTTTTGGGGTTTTGGGG